CGGTTTCATCCCGCAACCTCCAATCTTACAAGTGAGTTCATACCCCTATAATTCACACTTTTAAATGTTTTATGAGTCCTTTTACATGCTTTTAAGGGGGGGATACAAGTAAAACACTCGATTATTATCGTGTGTTATATAAACTTTCACTTTACGCGTTTTATCAAAGGAATCATATGTGATTTGAAACTATCAAAGGGAAACATTCATATGCAAATTATACCACGACAACATTTTATCTTTTGAATTGAGAAACGATTTATGTATTTATATAAATCAGATACTTGCTTATACTACATTTCTGTGTGTCGGTTTTGGCACTGCAAAAACTACACTTTTCATAACAAGTGAACATTTTCACTAAGGGTTTATTATACAAACGAAATTCACTTTTAGGAAACTATAATAGGTATAGTTTTACGAGAATACTACGAACTTTTACATACATGGAAATACTATTTCAAGAAGCTACTTTCATATACAATAACGAATGAACGTTTTCACACGTAAATCTTTTATACTAAGTTTTGTGAGACATTAACTTCACGTACGTTCGAGTACACATTTCAAGTCCTATTATATACCAGAATCCCTTGGAGGGGGAGCATGGTGTTTGTGTATAGATCTATACGGGCTTGACAACCCACGCCCTGACTGTTAGCTACAGTCCACCATTTGGGGTGACAAACATCAGAACATTCCAACGCCTGAAGAACGTTGTGTATAGGCATTCGTTTTCAATAGTATGGTTATAAAACTCACATAGAGTATTAAAAACACAATGATTTACGGGGTTTTTCAGACGTATTGGAAATTTTATACGTACATACATTTACTAGAAACAAACATTGGTCTTGAAAGAAGGCTACATTTATACTAGTAGAAAATATAGGATTTTCTAGGAACAAGCAAACAAGGAACAAAAACATTTCATTTCATACAAACATTGTCATTAAATACTTATGAAACTCACCAGCTTAAATGCTGATCTACTCTTTCAAAACTACTTGTATGTCCCAGGGATTCAGTAATTACAGGTAATAACAGATTTTGGAGAAGGGACGTTGCGGCGCCAGTTTAATTTCATATTTTGACATCATATTGTAATTGATTTTGAACATGTACACTTTTAAACAATGTAAACTTTCAATTATATATATGATGGTTGTATTGCTTTCTTTACTATGTATTCATTTGTTACGTTACCACATGAAGCCATCCGCCCCCCGAACGTTTCCGCCGTTCCGGTTTGGGGGTGTGACAGAATTACATCGAGCGGCCTTTGGTGATCCCGACAGGAAGTCGAAGGATCTGAGGAACAAGAGGGTGGTACTCGT